ACTCCAACCCAGTCACACCTAAACATTCGTTGGCCAAGCTGTAGGCACATGAGTGGCTGTAGGCAGGATGTCCTGGAAGCCAGCTCAAGAACATGTGGGCAGAGAATTCTAGGGTAAGATCTGGAAACAGAAGGGCATGGACCCCAGGGAGTATGTCTACTCTGCCTTGCCGATTCTTCTCCCCTTCAAGAGACCACAACCAGAGTGGGGCGCTCTAGAGTGTGGGGTGCCAGCTGGGACATGGCACCTTCAGTGTCCTTGACCCAAAGTTCAGACATCTATGTCATCCCATGAATGAGTCACTGTGGTCTTCAAAGGGAAGACCCCTGGCTCCTCCCTTTAGGGGAAAGTTTTGAAGAGGGCAGGAGACTCTGGGTCCAAGACCTATTCCTTATATCCAGGTGACCTTGCATAGCAGCAAAACCTTCCTGGTCCCATTCTTCCAAGTACAAAATAAAGACAATCACCATTCTGGCCACATTGTTGGCTGGACTCAGAGGGTGATAACATGATAGGCCAATGTGAGATTTGTTATCTTAAGGGGAGCCCAGGAAAGCAATGCAGTTCTCGGTGGAAAAAGACCTGGGCCTGTGGAAGTGGCAGAACTCTGAGCCCATTCCAGGAAAGACACCTACCTAGAGGACTTCCAAAGGGCTGAATAGGAAAGCAGATGCAAAAGCACCTGGCACACAGAAGGGACTCAAACATTACCAGTAGTAGAGGTGGTAGAGGTGGCAGAGGTGACAATTTCCTGAGTGACGCTGCACCTGGCATGTGCAGCATGCACTTTACAGATCATCCCTTTAATGATCACAATAACCAGAGGTAAGCTTACTCCCATATTACAGATGAGAAAAGTGAGGCCAGCCTCACACAGCTTGTGAGCAGTGAGGCCAGAAATTGCAGGGGAGTTGTCTGCATTCCCATTTCTCTTCCCACCACGCTCAGCACTGCCCAGGTAGTTTTCTTGCAGACTCCCATGATAACTCACAAAGCCACCGGACACAGCTCACAGCACCCCATGCCGGAGAAGCCAGCTAAATATTTAAACCAGAGACGGTGGGCCCCCTGCTTTGTCCACAGACACACAAGATCTTGCTGTGTTCCCATCCCCATTGACATGGCTCACCAAAAACCCATCCCCAGGAAAAGAGAGCTTGCTGATAAGCCAACCAGTTTAAGCTGGAGAAGACTGAACACAAAACATCAGCACATTCTGAGACACTTTACAAGGAGAGCCACGCCCAGGTACTCCGTGGACAAGGACTCGAGTAGCAATGCTGGGTAGGGCTCATGACAACCCCCTGGAACGTTCGTGTCTACTTCGTTCCCGGCAAAAATGCAAATAAACCTTGTTTTCACAAGCTGTGTGCTGTGTGCACTGAGTCCACATCAAGCGTTCCTGCATCGACTGATAAATAAAAACCACCAAGGTGTTTCAAGATGCTGGCGCTGCCAGGCCCAAGGTAAGCACTGGCTCCCACCTGCCTCCCTCCCTCTGCCGGGCAGCCTGCGGCATCTCGTTGGGGCAGACCCTTTTCCTGCGCGGGTGGACTGCAGCAGACACATCCAGGCCACCAGCGCTCACTCGCCCCTCACCCTCAAAGGATGAAAATATTCAATTACATAAGACGAGACCTAACCCCAGCACCTTCAGAAGACCCAGGGACTGTCAGCGGTGAGACACACAAGCGATACTGGGACCTGCAGTTCATGTCTCCGCTCCAGGAAGGGGTAGGTGTGCAGGGAGGGTGGGTGGCCGAGGCAGGTGGTCAGCACAGGCGAGAGTGGCGGTGATGCTGCCTCTGTGGAGTCCAGTGGCAGCCCCCCCTTAGGCTCTCCTTTCCTCCCCACCCCTCCCATTCCGAAAATGCCCCAGCCTCTTGAAAGGGCTGTGGTTGCTCAAGTCTCTCTAGCAAGTTTGGGACACCGACGCACCCCATTCCCCATATCCTGCTCTGCTGGCTCATTTTCTCTTGATTCTATTAAAGTTATATCCAAACAAAGGAACCCCACTGAAGGGGGCAAGGAGGGGCACGAGTCCCTCTTGGAGATAATGTGCCAAAGTCTTTATAAAACATGATTTTGCAACAACCTCCCCAATCTTCCCCCCTTTTGAGAATAGCCACGTAATTAATACTTTCTTGACAGAAAATGAACACTGGGTAAAGGTGGCAGCGCGTAGGACACCGCGCTCGGCCCTCCCGGGAGCAAGCCACACACGCGCGAACATGGGGGGCAGTTACCCCTGAGAGACACCCCCGCGCGGAATGACCGGCTCTGACAACAAACAGGAGGAAGAGCCGGACCAGAGACGCTGGGAACCAGGGCGCCCCCCGGGAGCTGCGCGAACCCTCGCGCCTGAGGAGGCGGTTCACGGCCCCTCCACCTCCACAGGGCGGCCGGACCTCTCGTCCGGGCTTGGGCCTACCTGCCAGGTCACCTCAGCCCCGTCCCAGCCACGCTGCCTGGAGCCTTCGGCCTCGGAACAAAGGGAGCACGCGGGACAACAGGGCGTCACCACGGCTGCCGGCCTCCCTGACGAGGGCCGCGTCTCCTGTCAGGCTCCTGCCCCGGGCACCCGGAACCCAGAGCGCATGCTCCACCTGTCAGGCTCCTGCCCCCCCCCC